TAATATAATCCAAAGCCACTTGTATACAAGCTTTGATGTGTATAATTAAAGTGAAAGAGACAAATATTATTTGAAAGAAAATATTTGTTAAGAGAGAATTTTATTTAGACTCAGATAGCATCTTTATTTATATATTTTTCAAAAATATAAGTATACTAATAATCTAATCAATAAAATAAATATTCAAAAGTGAAATAAGAAGTGAAAAGTAAAAATAAAAGTAAAATAATAAATAAAAAGTGAAATAATAAATGAAAAGTGAATTAATAAGTGAATTAATAAGTAAAAATGAAATAAAAAGTGAATTAATAAGTAAAAAGTAAAATAAAAAGTGAAATAATAAATTAAAAGTGAAATAAAATGTGAATTAATAAGTAAAAGTGAAATAATTTGAGAGATTTTAGCTATTATACAAATAATTTTGAATGTTTTGTATTTTTCAACTATTTTTGGAATTAACAATTTTTATATTATAATTATAACAATATAGACAAGATTACTAAATGATTGCTTGCTTGCTGCTGAATTTGTGTTCAATAATTCTAAATAAGTATCAACTAAACACATATTATTTGAGTTAGACTGTGAATAATTACCACTCACACTTATTATACTTATCATTAGATCAATCTGTAGTAATTGGAGTAATATTGATGTATATTTAAGTGATTTTTTTTTTGATTTCTTACTTAAATTTCTTTTTTATTATAGTTGATACCAAGAATTATAAATTCATAAATAAACTGAACATGTTCGACTGAGCTTTTTGTTCAGTTTAACGGGAATCAAACACATGCAACACTACCACAAGTGGAATTTAATGATAATGGTAGTACGACACAATACATGTACTGTAATTGGTAATGGCAATTTTCTCTTAAATTGACAGGCTACAAATACAAAAACAGGATTTTCTCCTCATGCAATAACAAAGAATGCATCATATACTCAAAATCTAGGCTGTTGTTGGTTGAGCATTAGGCGTTCAACTTGTAGAAGGGTTGGATGATGAGTTGAATGAAGAAAGCATCAGGGATAAAATTGCAGATTATTATTGCGTGCAGTGTAGAGTTTGGTGAGGGTTTTGAAGTGGAAGGTACAGCGTGAGATTTCATCCCTGTGGTTACAAAAGCATCCATAACCACAAGCACCGTGCTGATGGATCCAAGCTTGATTTGCTGTAATAAATAAGAACTCTTTGATATTGGCAAGTTGACTCTCGTACCTTTCGATTTTTTTGTTAGAGGTCTTAGAGAAGATGGTTCTAAGAGCCTTATGGATAGACGGAAAACCTTTAGACATAATTCTAACAATAATGTGGAAAAGAGTAATAATTCATTGACTACAACACCTATATGGCATTACGCAGTACTTATTCGCTGCGTGGATTGCTTAACGTAGTTGTTGTAAGAGAAATATAGTTTTTTGGTAACACTAAAATGGTACTGATAATAACACATAAATTCGGCTCACCTTCCGCATCAAGCACTTAAACAGTATGAAGGCGGTGGAGCAATAATAATGCAGCCTAGGGGAAATGGAAACAGGCAGGAAGTGACAGAAAACTGCAAAAACGTACCCCAACAGATGATACAGTAGTGAAACATAAGCACTGAGCTCACAGCGGCATTTCTTCCATCATTCATACGATTGCCTACACATAGCATTTATCATAAAATTAAGATTCAGAGCGATTTCTAAAACCTTTAATCAAAATAACTTTTTCATTATAAATTTACCTTCTTCTATTAGCTTTATGCGTATAGAATTTCTTTTAATGGTTTATTCTACTCTACTGTGATCTCTTATATAAGCAAAATATGTTTAATTTTCTATAACGATAAAAATCAAAATTTTTTATTTATATCGATATATCGATATGTACTCCTAAACCTGATACATAAAGAGAAAGACTAGTGTGTTAAAATTTGTTTTGTTCAAATAATCAAAAAATTATTTTGGACATCTACGCGTTTTCCGACCAAAAGTTATTAAGGTTAATGAAAAAGTACATTTATAATTTATGTAGTGTTGATAAAAAGTTCTAATGATTCGAATAATAGCAATAACATTATCTAGTCATAATCAAAAAGCCACGAGACTAACAGAGACAGCAAACAAGGTAGCGATAAATCCAACAGAAAACACTGAAGTAACACTTGATGCCGAGGAGTTATTGGTACCTGTAGTATTGCTTTTATTGTCAGAAGTCGTCGAGTTGGTGGTGCTACTTCCGACTGGCTTAGTGGTATTTGTGGCATTGCTGCTAGTGGTAATTACACTGTCGATAACGTGGATCACACCATTTTCTACGAGAACATCGGGAATAAGAACTTTGGCTCCGTTGACGGAAACTGTTCCATTGGAAATTTTGATAGTGACCGTTGCGTTTTCTGCAACGGTAGAGAAATTTTGACCATCTTTGAGACCGGCAGAGTAACCGACGATGTCACTAACAACATGAAGTTTGAGTATTGCAGCAAGTGTAGTTTCGTTGAGGATGCTAGCGTTGGATTTGAGGAATGCATCATCAACTGGAGCAAAAATCGTGACACCTTTAATTGTATCAACAACAACATCAAGTTTGGTCTTTACAAGAGCAGCAACAAATTGAGTTAGACCTGCTCGTTTTGCGACTTTGGTTGATTTTTCCGGTGGAATTAGAACTAAATTATATAGAAAATTATAAGTAAATGTAATTTCAATCATTCTGGCAAATATATTATTCATAGACAATCAACAAACCTTTATCGATGACATGAACAACACCATTAATAGCAAATAGACTTGGTTTAACAACAGTGGCATCATTAACTTTAACAGCATCTCCAGTCTTGTTGACTTGGACAACTTGATATTGTCCTTGTGGGAGATTAGCCAACGTCTCATTGAGAAAAGTTTGCACGAGATTAACGCCACTCTTTAAAGATTCGACAGAGTAGTTTCCTTGTACGATATGATAGTTTAGAATTGCATTAACTAATTTCGCATTAGATGCATTGACACCAGCAAAAGCGTCGTCAGTTGGCGCAAACACGGTCAAGTTGGATGCAGGGTCACTTAACGCCTTAGCAATTGCTTCTTGACCAGGACTTGTCACGAGTTTGAATAGTGTTGATAGAGTTAGAGTAGAGGTTTCATTTGCTAGTTGGGCGATTGTGACATTTGGTGCTGCTTTTACATTTACTGGCGCAAATAAAAACAAAGAACTTGCCAATACGGCTGCTGTTATAGATTTTCTGAAAATCATCTCGATTCTCTTGCTTGAATTTTTAGTATTTGTGATTATTAACGTTATTTGTATAAAACAGGCGAGGTAAAAATAACCGTGATTACAGTAAAGAATAATATCAACGTGTAGAAAAATAATATCTTGAGCACTTGTTTATATAGCTATCCCATATACCCAATAATCATGGACAATCAAAGAAACTAGAATTTGTAAGCAATAATTTATTTCGCCAGAAATGTATGTAGAAAACACTATCGTTACGATTGCTTTTTAGGATTCTATCATAATACGTATACAAAACAATGATAGCGATACGTACGTAGTGATTGCCTCATATGTCGTATTATTCCAAGAAACAGTAATACCATTTTTAGTTAGATTAATTATGACTTCTGAAATATTCAATAAAGCATAATTACATATATTTAAATGCTTATTTTTGCGAACCTGACTTAATTATCGTTTAGTTTGCATATTTTAATTTCGTTTATTCAAGAATCTGAATTATTTCATATCTTACTGCCAGAATTTATGATTTATCCATCACAATTAGAATTAAACCATCTGTGGAAAGCAAAAGATAACGATAAACTTGCAAAGTACATGTATTAGTCTTAACACACACACGTTGATAAATTGGTTTTTCTTTCTACATGTATTGTGAAATTTTGTGTGAGGGATAATATCATCGAATTGTACATTACAGGATATTGTATTGTATATGCGATTCGGGAATTTTGATCGTGCGTGTACAGTATTCGATTTTCGAAAATGGCGATTTTTTCCTTTCATTATTCAATCTATATATAACTTAGCTTTAGCTTCTTTTGTAATACCGATTGATTGATGATTATTTGCCAAATACGTATATACATGTACATGTACTGTTACAGGTTAGTGACCGATTATAGGAATTAGCTGCTAATCTGTAACTTGGGTGGGAGA